TCATCTCGCTCTCCTCGTTGTTGGCGTTTTGACATGGAGCAGCCATCGATGACTGAGCTTGGCCCTTGCGCTCTTGAATCACCTGCTTCAGCTTGCTCTTCTCCTCTTCGGACAGAAGAGCTTCCATTTCGGCAGGAGTCGGCGCTTCGCTGATTGCCTCCCAGGATGGAGTTGGGCTCCCAGGAGGTGTCTTCGGCTTCGTCTTGTAGCCGTCGTGGAACAGCACGTTGGAAGGCTTTGGAGCTTCGTTGATCTTTATGACCAGGGCATTCACAACCTCGTCCGCATCGATCTTGGCCTGCATGGCACGGCATAGCTCCAAGGTTGGGCGTCGACCCTCGGTCATCACAAAGGTCTCTCGAAGCATCCTTTCCACCATCCCCGGATTCTCGCACTTGGTCGTCTGACCGGCTGCACCCACTCTCGGCACATAGGACAGACGTAGGCCGCACACTGCACATTCGATCCATCGACCGTGCTGGTTGGATCGCGCTCCCGTCGGTGTGTGCGCCGCATAGCACGGCCATTGATTGGCCTTGGCCCTTGGATCCCTCAGGTCCATACTGACCTCTCTGGAAGGATCGAAAGGCTGAGCTGGTGCCTTCTTCGGTGTGCTTTGCTTCGCCATGCTGGTCAACTGCTTGGACTGCTCCGCAGTGATCATCTCCTTGGAGGTCGACATGGCGAGCACACTTGGAAGAACTCGAATTTGCGCTGTTGCTCTTGGAGATCATGAGAGCTGAGCCAGATGCTGAAGCATTCGAAGGCTGAGCAAGTGATCTCAAAGTTCTCAGTCTTTGCACTGCCTCAATTTTCACCTTCTCATCAAGCATGCGTTCAGAGACCGTGAGATCATAGTATTCAACTGGATGAAATTCTAGAGATTGAAGTGAACGCACAGCTTCGGCACCCTTGACCCGGATGGTGGCATGACCCTCATGACATTCATGTCCTTCAGTTAGAAGCTGAACAACATCCAAAACATAGTGCCCTTTTTGGTTAACTGGAAGTTGAAAAGCTTCACCATCGTTGGTTTGAATAGCCATGCCCGTGGGAAAGTCAATGCAAAGTCCAAAATGTGCATCCCCCAAATAATCCATACCAACCAAAATAGGAACCATGCTTGAACGATCAAAGTTGGGATCATGTAGTTGAGGAGGATTGGGCAACGCAAACAGCTTGAAGGTCTTTGGGGAACCACTAGCATGTGATGTGATAGATGCTCGAAACAAAGCCCTGCCCCACTGCCCATTGCCAAAGCGAAAATACGGTCGCTCGGACTTCTGAATGTCAATCACCGCTTGGTGGTCACGTTCCAAGACACTAGAAATCAGCGACTGAACTGCCAAGAGAGGACCGGCTGATGCAGTCGCTCCGCAGTCAATCAAACCTTGGCTGGGAGACAAAGAAGTGGAGCTAGCAGCCGTGTTCATCTCCTTCACATCCATGAGCTCTAGCCCATACATGCCAGCACTGTATGCGTTCACCGCGGGTCGAGACTGACCCTTGCCCTTGCCTTTCTTGCCCTTGACCCACGCTTGAGCCTCGAGCCATTTGAGACCTTTCGATCCCTTCTTGCCCTTGCCCTTGCCAGTGAAATAGTTGTCAACCTCTTCGTATTCAGTCATGTAGTGAGGCTTGAACTTGCCCTTGTTGAAACCCTTACTGTAGTAGGGGTGTTGCCGATCAGGACATTCACTGGAAAGGTGTGGGCCATGACAAATAAAGCAAGGGCCAGCAGGTTTGCCTTGAACAGGAATCTGACCAAAGCCCCTATCCTTCCTCAAGGCTTGTGTTGCCCTTTGAGCTTCACTCCACGTTCTCTGAGCTTCGGCTGCTAAGGACTCAGCCACGCGCTCAGCTTGCTGAGCTTCTTTGAGAGCAGCTTCATCCTCAGGAGACGGTGAAGTCTCTTCTTCTGCGGCAGCTTCTTCAGGAAGACTGGCATAGTAACCATCATAGTCCCACCAGTCCCAGTCGTCACCATTCCATTCCCAGTCATCACCATAAGCAGCCATTCCATCTAGCCACCACTCATCATAGCGTTCAGCTTGATAGTTGTCATGTTGTTGGCCACGTCCATGCTGACGACCAAGAAATTGCTCATCCCACAGGGTTTGAAGAGCATGGGTGACAACTTCAAACTCTAAACTGCCACGGGTCGTGCCCAGAATGTCACGCTTATCTTCAGGTGAAAGCCCAGCAGCTTGAAGAACTCGAAATCCACGCAGGACGCCGAGCACAAAGCTATCGGCCAGCGTCAGTTCATTCACAACGACAGGAGAAGTTGATGGAATTCCGACAGATCGTTTCTCAGGAACCAGTGGAGGCACTCTTCCAGACTGGCGCGAAGGTGTTCGGCCAGTAGGAGAGCCCATGTCACCAGGAGGTGTAGCCGGCTCTGCAGCAGCAACTTGAGGCGCAGCAGTGGCTGCCGCAGGTGGAGCTTGTGGTGGATCTTCAGCAGGAACTTCGGGAACTTCTGATGGAGGGGAAGAAGACGTTCGCCACCAGTCATCCCACTCACCTTGAGTCCATTCGTCCTCCAGTTCATCAGAAGGCAGACCAAAATCTTTGTCATCCTGTTTGATCCCATGCTTGTCTTCGTAAAGACGTATGATGGCTTCCACAAACTCGCTATAGCCCAAAGCTTCTCGAACCAAAAAGGCATGAATTGGTTCTCCTGGAGCTCGCTTGAAGGAAAAATACTGCTGACAAATAGCAGCAGCATTTGGAAGCGATTGCCTCACCAAAGGAGAAACTGCAAGTCGACGCAGATACTCCTTGGTGCCCCCAACCTTGTCGAAGTCCACATCTGGCCAAGACATCGCCAGAAGCCTAGCAGGCCCAGTCAGCCTACTCATCAGCTTCGAAGCGCAATGTCGCCTCTTGTTCTGAGGCGTGGCGCGGACATACCAACACACTTCTCGGGTGTATCGGCGCCAGCCCTTGGCTTGACCATCCCAACCAGGCACATGGTGCTCCTTCTCCATCTTGCCAAAGGAGACTGCAAGGAAAAAGCAAAGGCCCAGGTCGCGTCACCTGGAAGTACAAAAAAGTCAGCTGCAGCCAAAAATGCAAAAGCCCGACTGTCGCCGCAACGTCAATGCCTCAAGCAATGATTGCAGCAGCAGCAAGAGATTCAAAGGCCCTGGCACAGCCGCAAGTCCAGCGCAAGCCAATCCCTTGAGGATGTAGTAGCGCAGCAGCTGGAGCAACACTTGCTCCGCTACCAGTGTAGCGGGCGCACACTGGTAGCAGATTGAGCTCTCAACCAAATGGGGTTTCCACAGCCCCACCAATCAAACAGCACAGCAAATGAAGCGAGCGCAAGGCTCAGCAAATGTTTTCCATGCACAGCGGGTGTGCGTACAATCGCACCATCAAGTGCTCAAAGGGGCCCCTACGGACCCGTATGGTCATATGAGCCAAGCATCACGGAGTCATCCAAGTTTCAGATTGGCAATGCTGATTGGCAAAGGAAGGTACCTGGCAGGTCAGGAGCTGGACATGTTGCAGAAACCCATTTGGGCCTCATGCGTTGTCCAACGTGGCTATGACTTCACTACAGACCCTCAGGTGCAGAGCATGGGCTTGTCATTCTCAGGGGAAGTCCGGGGCGCCTGGTTCAAGGCGGACTCTACCATCCTGCAGTGGACCGAGGACAAGAGTTGCAGCAGTCATTCAACTGGAGGAGGCGGCAGGGAGAAGGACTGCACCTATGACTACAACTTGGAGTGGGTCTCATCTCCTCAGTCTTCCTCCAATTTCTATTGTTACCCCAGTTGGAGACCCGGCTGCCAGAGGAGTGGCTCGCAGATTCAGAACTCTGGAACCATTCCAACTTCGCTTCAACAGACCTTGAACGCTCCAGATGGCACAGTGGGAATGGGTTCATCCACAGACTCCCTCTACTTTCTGGACAACAAGGAGATGGGTGTCTTTCCATCGGTGCCAGTGACCGTTCCTTCAGGCCAGAGGACCAGTTTGCTGCCCAACAAGCAGCTGGTGCAGGTGGACGCCACTTCGGTGCAGTTCAGTTCGGTCCCAGGACAGAACTCCATTGGCGACGTCCGGACCACCTTCACCCAGTCCCAGGTCCAGTTTGGCCTGACGCAGGTAGCCATCATCGCCAAGCAGGCTGCCATGTCAAGCAGCAATGCTCAGATGAGACCCTGGGACACCCAGTTGCCTGGTACCATGTTCTTGGTAGATTGGGCCTCAATGGGTGGCTTATCCAAATCGGACATGATCAACGAGAAGCAAAGTGAGAATGGTGCTATGGTCATTGCTTTGCGGTTCGTAGGCTTCATCTTGATGTGGTTGGGCCTCCAACTTGTCACAGGGCCCATTGCACTGATGCCACAGATCGTTCCTTGTTGCGGCGAGATGATCGGAGAGATGGTTGGATGTGCTTTGTGTTGCATGAACTGCTTGATTTCGTTGGCCCTCTCATTGACTGTCATTGGTGTTGCTTGGTTGATGGCCAGGCCCATCCTTGGCATTGGGCTGTTGCTGGTTGCAGCTGCAGCCGTTTGTGGTGCCGGGGTGCTACGCAACAAGTTCCGCAAGAACGCCCGAGAGCCTAGCATGTCGCAGCCCTTCATGGCACCGCAGATCAACATGGCACCAGCACCTCAGCAGCACGTGCAGGTGGTGTGTCCTCAAAATGCCGTGCCTGGACAAATGCTCATGGTGCAATGCCCAGATGGACTTCAACGACAAGTTCAGGTACCACAAGGGGTGTTTCCTGGACAGACCTTCCAAGTGATCATTTGAAACTTAAACGCGGCGCTGTTTCACCCAGTACAGACGAGATTGATCGAGATTGTTGAGTCAAGTTGGCAGCCGCTTGCGAAAAAGCGGATTCACGCATATGCTTGCTCTTACTTGTAACAGCATTTCAAAGAAAGTCGCACTTGCATTGAAAATGGACATGGCCGTTCTGGCCGTTCAGAGATACACATAGATGATGCTTTGCACGATCCGTGATGCCACAGGCCAAAGAAGGCGACAACACCACATCTCAGCCATGGTCCGTCCAGTGGGAAACCAAAGCCAAATGGGAGGCACAGCCAGGGACTGCCTACTCGGGATCCCTGTGTGGGATGGGGATGGTTAGTGACAGTTGGTGACAGTTGGTGTCATGTTTGGAGTTTTTGAACGTTGTAGAGTTTTGAAACCAAGTCTGGTTGCTGCTTTGAACAATGTTCAACTACGTTACGTTGATCTATTATCATGAGTAAAACATGGCAAAACAATAGTAAACCACCCATTTGGGCATGTTTTTTTACCACCTATGGATGGTTTATGACATCGTTTTGCCAACATTTGTTTAAGTATTTCCCATCCCTGCTATGATGATCCTCCAGGCATGGGAGAAGTGCAAAGGAAAGTCGAAGGAAACGGCTAGAATCCCAGATTCAGAGTGGCTGATGATTGATGGATATTGATGGATATTGATGGATGTTGATGGATATTGATGGATATTGATGGATATTGATGGATATTGATGGATATTGATGGATATTGATGGATATTGATGGATATTTGATGGATATTTGATGGATATTTGATGGATATTTGATGGATATTTGATGGATATTGATGGATATTTGATGGATATTGATGGATATTGATGGATATTGATGGATATTGACAATGATATTGATGCTATTATTATGAATTATTGATAATTATTGATGGTTAATGGTGATTCATAATGGATTATAAATGATTATAGTGGCTTTTACTGGTGGATAGTATTGATAGTGGTTAAACATGATTAATAGTACAGCCCGCGCTGGTGAAGAATCCGAAAGCTTGAGGTCCAGGGTCCCTCAAATTCTCATTTTTAAATACAGGCAAATTTACACTACAACAGGCCGAGGGTCCCTCAAATTCTTAAGGTATTCTTAGTATTGTATTGCAGGCATCTGCACAATTTGGAGCAAGATTAAACAAGGTACTAGTAACGAGGTGGAGTTGGCAGATTTGACTATTCATGCGAAACTATAATATGGCTATTAATCGTCAATAATTATCAACAATTCCTTCCCCATCATGTTAAACATTCCCTGCAAACCATAGTTTGGTAGGGGATGGAACCACATGGCTGCGGCTCAAAATGTAAGGTTCTGATCCATACCCCGGTACCACATGCGATCCATACCCCATGATCCATACCAAAACGCAGGTGATCCAGACCGATCCATACGTCCGGATCACCCGCGGAACGATCCATACCCGTTTTTTGAGCCATACCCACATATTGGGACCATTGGTGTTTAATATTAGGGGAATGGGACTAATATTGGATTTTCTGTCTTTTGCTTTTCTATCCCACCGTCCCGTTTAATCTAGTCGAGTTTTGTGTATAAAAGTCCAAATGAGAATCATAATATTTGTCATATATGTATGTTCATTTTTACTTATTGGTATGTATGTAGTTTGTATCTATAGTATTTGTATGTATCTGGTTAGTGTTCATCTATTTGTATTTATCAGTATGTATGTTCATTTACAGATCCGTCCTTCTATCTATCTTGCTACCTATCCTATTTGCTTTGTTTGCCTTGTGGCGACCCATCCATGTAGAGCCCACTACGAAACCCAGCATTGCTCTTGCTACCGCAAGGCCATGACTGAGTACATTGCCGAAGTCGAAGCGCAAACGGAGAAGTTCGGCATTACGCCACCATGAGGCACAGGGGGTCCACCGTGCCACCTCCAATCATGGCACCTCTAGTGACCAGATGCCAGGTCCCGCCAGGCCCAACTGTTTCATCAGATGGATGGAAGCTGCGATCTGCGTGAGGGCCCCGGCCTGCGGCCCTGCCACCCAGGCACTGGGGCAGGATTTGCACTGGAATCTAGTGACTCTAGTGGTGAGAAGGATCATGATGGCCCTTTTGGGGGCTGTCCAACGTGAATCTTTGGTTATTCACAACATGACAACATGCAGTTCAAATCAGTTCGAATCACATCAAATCTCATGGCACCTTCTCGCGCACTGGATGCTGCACATGTCCTTCTATACAGAGGAGCAGTGACAAAAAGGCTGCGCTCTGGTTGCGATGACTCATCCCTTCCAAATTACAAGTCAATACCTCCAACGTGGGCCCCGAATTCATGAACAGATCAAATACGATCAAATACTATTCTGGTAGCCCCGTTGATTTTTGCATTAGCGGTCAACTGGCAATATCTACAGAGGCTGCAGGGACATCAGTTTTTTTTCTGGCAGGACTTGATTGGAAGTGTCCCACCAGCAGTGGGGACCCATCATTGGAATGCCAATTGATGGCAAGCAGTTCCCAGAGACGCCTGATGTCACCTGTTGTTTCCTTTTTTTTTTGGGCAAAGTCTCAGAGGCTTCGCTGATATAGTTTCCTATAACAATGCCGTAATGCCGTGCCTAACACGTTGAATCCTTAATGTTTTCCCATTATGCCATTGGGATAGAATAATTATTACCTTTATATGGCTATACTATCCCAGTATTATAGATAATTAGTCAACATTATTCAACGATACTATCTAAATGATTCCTGTCATATCCAAGACATTATTCCATAATCATGTGTAATCCCTTCCCCCCAATATCAAAATATCTCAAATACATCCTTGGCAAAGCTTCCCGTTCCCCCTGGCCGACACCTGGCCAACATCGCAGCCGGTTTCGGTTCAACTGTGAAGGGAATTTGTCGCAGGCAAAAACTTGACGACATGTCGGACAGATTCAGGGTCAGTCATATGAGGGAGTGCAAAGTGTGGTTTTCTGAAGGTCGGAGTATGTCGGAGTAGTGACTGTCAAGAATTGGTTAATGGGAACTAATCAGGGTCCAGACCATGTTGGTACCTTCCAGTAGCCGAGCACATTGGTCATGGTTCAAAGTCATTTACCAATGGTTTATGATCCCATAGGATCCATGTATGCTATATATGGTGACATTTACCATCAATATACCCCAAATGTTAGCATATATACCATACATGGATCCTATGGGGATGTCTATGTTCCTTTCATGTTAAACATTAACCATGAACCCGTCAGGTTCGGGGGGCCAGCCATCAACCTTGCCCGCCTGCGCGGGAGTGTGCAGGACTTGGAAGCGAAATTCGAGGCTGCGGCGAACCTGATTGCCAAAGGCACGCCCACCAAGGGTTCCGCCAGCACAGATGCACCTCGGTCTCCGGCTGTGATGGTGGCATGTGCTTGGGAGAGACGGTGACTGAGTCAAGGACTGAACTTGGTCAACTAGATCAAACTAGGCGTAAATTAGAGAGAGAGAGAGAGAGGTGTGTACTGTAAATTAATGGATAAACATGGTCAGTCAATGGATCTGATCCACTGCTTTTGGTGGTTAGATGTTATAGTATGTTACAGTGTTGCTGAAAGGGTGGGTTGCAGGTCACTCATGAATCAACGTCAGATGCCACTGAGATCCCCAATGCAAAGCCACGCCTTGAAATCACCGCGCATTGCTGGATTTAACACATTTTACTATAGGGATACCACTGCTATATTGTATATAGTATACCACTATAGTATAGTGTTTTATAGGATATACCACTATACTGAATTTCCCTATATATACCACTATTATGTGTTGAACATGTAGGGAATTCCGGACTTCCATGGTTTTTTTTTGAGTGGGTTTCTGCCAAGGACAAGCTGAAGCTCTACGGCTTGTACAAGCAGGCGGGGATGGCCACATCGATCTACCCTTCTTCTGCCATGTTTATGTTCATGAGGAATGATGATGGTAGAATGGCTATTATTGAGGAGAGAAGGCAATGCTTGTTGGTATTTTTCTGACAGCTGATGACAGCAGATCAACTCGTTGAAATCGCCATCTTTTCAGAGTCCTTTTCGGTTCAGTCCCATCAGATCCTATACCGGAGCGTCGCTCCTAAACAAGGCTGAGCCCATGGGCAATGCCGTGGGTTTTGGGAATGTGGAATCCTTGGGCAATGTCGCCGTGGAGAGGGAAAACTTTTGCCAGCGAATGGGCAATTTTGTGTGGGAGTTTGCTTTGGGATTTTGCTCTTCCTGGGATCCATCTTCCTACTGGGCTGGAATGAGTTCAACTATGTCCGCAACCAGGCCATCTTGCTGAAGGTGGACAAGGAAGTGATTGAAGCTGGATGCGTCCCCAGTGCTTCCAATGTTGGGAAACCCATTTGGGCCTCATGCGTTGTCCAACGTGGCTATGACTTCACTACAGACCCTCAGGTGCAGAGCATGGGCTTGTCATTCTCAGGGGAAGTCCGGGGCGCCTGGTTCAAGGCGGACTCTACCATCCTGCAGTGGACCGAGGACAAGAGTTGCAGCAGTCATTCAACTGGAGGAGGCGGCAGGGAGAAGGACTGCACCTATGACTACAACTTGGAGTGGGTCTCATCTCCTCAGTCTTCCTCCAATTTCTATTGTTACCCCAGTTGGAGACCCGGCTGCCAGAGGAGTGGCTCGCAGATTCAGAACTCTGGAACCATTCCAATTTCGCTTCAACAGACCTTGAACGCTCCAGATGGCACAGTGGGAATGGGTTCATCCACAGACTCCCTCTACTTTCTGGACAACAAGGAGATGGGTGTCTTTCCATCGGTGCCAGTGACCGTTCCTTCAGGCCAGAGGACCAGTTTGCTGCCCAACAAGCAGCTGGTGCAGGTGGACGCCACTTCGGTGCAGTTCAGTTCGGTCCCAGGACAGAACTCCATTGGCGACGTCCGGACCACCTTCACCCAGTCCCAGGTCCAGTTTGGCCTGACGCAGGTAGCCATCATCGCCAAGCAGGCTGCCATGTCAACCAGCAATGCTCAGATGAGACCCTGGGACACCCAGTTGCCTGGTACCATGTCCTTGGTAGATTGGGCCTCAATGGGTGGCTTATCCAAATCGGACATGATCAACGAGAAGCAAAGTGAGAATGGTGCTATGGTCATTGCTTTGCGGTTCGTAGGCTTCATCTTGATGTGGTTGGGCCTCCAACTTGTCACAGGGCCCATTGCACTGATGCCACAGATCGTTCCTTGTTGCGGCGAGATGATCGGAGAGATGGTTGGATGTGCTTTGTGTTGCATGAACTGCTTGATTTCGTTGGCCCTCTCATTGACTGTCATTGGTGTTGCTTGGTTGATGGCCAGGCCCATCCTTGGCATTGGGCTGTTGCTGGTTGCAGCTGCAGCCGTTTGTGGTGCCGGGGTGCTACGCAACAAGTTCCGCAAGAACGCCCGAGAGCCTAGCATGTCGCAGCCCTTCATGGCACCGCAGATCAACATGGCACCAGCACCTCAGCAGCACGTGCAGGTGGTGTGTCCTCAAAATGCCGTGCCTGGACAAATGCTCATGGTGCAATGCCCAGATGGACTTCAACGACAAGTTCAGGTACCACAAGGGGTGTTTCCTGGACAGACCTTCCAAGTGATCATTTGAAACTTAAACGCGGCGCTGTTTCACCCAGTACAGACGAGATTGATCGAGATTGTTGAGTCAAGTTGGCAGCCGCTTGCGAAAAAGCGGATTCACGCATATGCTTGCTCTTACTTGTAACAGCATTTCAAAGAAAGTCGCACTTGCATTGAAAATGGACATGGCCGTTCTGGCCGTTCAGAGATACACATAGATGATGCTTTGCACGATCCGTGATGCCACAGGCCAAAGAAGGCGACAACACCACATCTCAGCCATGGTCCGTCCAGTGGGAAACCAAAGCCAAATGGGAGGCACAGCCAGGGACTGCCTACTCGGGATCCCTGTGTGGGATGGGGATGGTTAGTGACAGTTGGTGACAGTTGGTGTCATGTTTGGAGTTTTTGAACGTTGTAGAGTTTTGAAACCAAGTCTGGTTGCTGCTTTGAACAATGTTCAACTACGTTACGTTGATCTATTATCATGAGTAAAACATGGCAAAACAATAGTAAACCACCCATTTGGGCATGTTTTTTTACCACCTATGGATGGTTTATGACATCGTTTTGCCAACATTTGTTTAAGTATTTCCCATCCCTGCTATGATGATCCTCCAGGCATGGGAGAAGTGCAAAGGAAAGTCGAAGGAAACGGCTAGAATCCCAGATTCAGAGTGGCTGATGATTGATGGATATTGATGGATATTGATGGATGTTGATGGATATTGATGGATATTGATGGATATTGATGGATATTGATGGATATTGATGGATATTGATCGATATTGATGGATATTGACATTGATGGATATTGACATTGATGGATATTGATGGATATTGATGGATGTTGATGGATGTTGATGGATATTGATGGATATTGATGGATATTGATGGATATTGATGGATATTGATGGATATTGATGGATATTGACAATGATATTGATGCTATTATTATGAATTATTGATAATTATTGATGGTTAATGGTGGTTCATAATGGATTATAAATGATTATAGTGGCTTTTACTGGTGGATAGTATTGATAGTGGTTAAACATGATTAATAGTACAGCCCGCGCTGGTGAAGAATCCGAAAGCTTGAGGTCCAGGGTCCCTCAAATTCTCATTTTTAAATACAGGCAAATTTACACTACAACAGGCCGAGGGTCCCTCAAAGTCTTAAGGTATTCTTAGTATTGTATTGCAGGCATCTGCACAATTTGGAGCAAGATTAAACAAGGTACTAGTAACGAGGTGGAGTTGGCAGATTTGACTATTCATGCGAAACTATAATATGGCTATTAATCGTCAATAATTATCAACAATTCCTTCCCCATCATGTTAAACATTCCCTGCAAACCATAGTTTGGTAGGGGATGGAACCACATGGCTGCGGCTCAAAATGTAAGGTTCTGATCCATACCCCGGTACCACATGCGATCCATACCCCATGATCCATACCAAAACGCAGGTGATCCAGACCGATCCATACGTCCGGATCACCCGCGGGACGATCCATACCCGTTTTTTTGAGCCATACCCACATATTGGGACCATTGGTGTTTAATATTAGGGGAATGGGATTAATATTGGATTTTCTGTCTTTTGCTTTTCTATCCCACCGTCCCGTTTAATCTAGTCGAGTTTTGTGTATAAAAGTCCAAATGAGAATCATAATATTTGTCATATATGTATGTTCATTTTTACTTATTGGTATGTATGTAGTTTGTGTATCTATAGTATTTGTATGTATCTGGTTAGTGTTCATCTATTTGTATTTATCAGTATGTATGTTCATTTACAGATCCGTCCTTCTATCTATCTTGCTACCTATCCTATTTGCTTTGTTTGCCTTGTGGCGACCCATCCATGTAGAGCCCACTACGAAACCCAGCATTGCTCTGCAGTAGCAAGGCCATGACTGAGTACATTGCCGAAGTCGAAGCGCAAACGGAGAAGTTCGGCATTACGCCACCATGAGGCACAGGGGGTCCACCGTGCCACCTCCAATCATGGCACCTCTAGTGACCAGATGCCAGGTCCCGCCAGGCCCAACTGTTTCATCAGATGGATGGAAGCTGCGATCTGCGTGAGGGCCCCGGCCTGCGGCCCTGCCACCCAGGCACTGGGGCAGGATTTGCACTGGAATCTAGTGACTCTAGTGGTGAGAAGGATCATGATGGCCCTTTTGGGGGCTGTCCAACGTGAATCTTTGGTTATTCACAACATGACAACATGCAGTTCAAATCAGTTCGAATCACATCAAATCTCATGGCACCTTCTCGCGCACTGGATGCTGCACATGTCCTTCTATACAGAGGAGCAGTGACAAAAAGGCTGCGCTCTGGTTGCGATGACTCATCCCTTCCAAATTACAAGTCAATACCTCCAACGTGGGCCCCGAATTCATGAACAGATCAAATACGATCAAATACTATTCTGGTAGCCCCGTTGATTTTTGCATTAGCGGTCAACTGGCAATATCTACAGAGGCTGCAGGGACATCAGTTTTTTTTCTGGCAGGACTTGATTGGAAGTGTCCCACCAGCAGTGGGGACCCATCATTGGAATGCCAATTGATGGCAAGCAGTTCCCAGAGACGCCTGATGTCACCTGTTGTTTCCTTTTTTTTTTGGGCAAAGTCTCAGAGGCTTCGCTGATATAGTTTCCTATAACAATGCCGTAATGCCGCAATGCCTAACACGTTGAATCCTTAATGTTTTCCCATTATGCCATTGGGATAGAATAATTATTACCTTTATATGGCTATACTATCCCAGTATTATAGATAATTAGTCAACATTATTCAACGATACTATCTAAATGATTCCTGTCATATCCAAGACATTATTCCATAATCATGTGTAATCCCTTCCCCCCAATATCAAAATATCTCAAATACATCCTTGGCAAAGCTTCCCGTTCCCCCTGGCCGACACCTGGCCAACATCGCAGCCGGTTTCGGTTCAACTGTGAAGGGAATTTGTCGCAGGCAAAAACTTGACGACATGTCGGACAGATTCAGGGTCAGTCATATGAGGGAGTGCAACGTGTGGTTTTCTGAAGGTCGGAGTATGTCGGAGTAGTGACTGTCAAGAATTGGTTAATGGGAACTAATCAGGGTCCAGACCATGTTGGTACCTTCCAGTAGCCGAGCACATTGGTCATGGTTCAAAGTCATTTACCAATGGTTTATGATATCCTTTCATGTTAAACATTAACCATGAACCCGTCAGGTTCGGGGGGCCAGCCATCAACCTTGCCCGCCTGCGCGGGAGTGTGCAGGACTTGGAAGCGAAATTCGAGGCTGCGGCGAACCTGATTGCCAAAGGCACGCCCACCAAGGGTTCCGCCAGCACAGATGCACCTCGGTCTCCGGCTGTGATGGTGGCATGTGCTTGGGTGAGACGGTGACTGAGTCAAGGACTGAACTTGGTCAACTAGATCAAACTAGGCGTAAATTAGAGAGAGAGAGAGGTGTGTACTGTAAATTAATGGATAAACATGGTCAGTCAATGGATCTGATCCACTGCTTTTGGTGGTTAGATGTTATAGTATGTTACAGTGTTGCTGAAAGGGTGGGTTGCAGGTCACTCATGAATCAACGTCAGATGCCACTGAGATCCCCAATGCAAAGCCACGCCTTGAAATCACCGCGCATTGCTGGATTTAACACATTTTACTATAGGGATACCACTGCTATATTGTATATAGTATACCACTATAGTATAGTGTTTTATAGGATATACCACTATACTGAATTTCCCTATATATACCACTATTATGTGTTGAACATGTAGGGAATTCCGGACTTCCATGTTTTTTTTTTGAGTGGGTTTCTGCCAAGGACAAGCTGAAGCTCTACGGCTTGTACAAGCAGGCGGGGATGGCCACATCGATCTACCCTTCTTCTGCCATGTTTATGTTCATGAGGAATGATGATGGTAGAATATGGTAGAATGGCTATTATTGAGGAGAGAAGGCAATGCTTGTTGGTATTTTTCTGACAGCTGATGACAGCAGATCAACTCGTTGAAATCGCCATCTTTTCAGAGTCCTTTTCGGTTCAGTCCCATCAGATCCTATACCGGAGCGTCGCTCCTAAACAAGGCTGAGCCCATGGGCAATGCCGTGGGTTTTGGGAATGTGGAATCCTTGGGCAATGTCGCCGTGGAGAGGGAAAACTTTTGCCAGCGAATGGGCAATTTTGTGTGGGAGTTTGCTTTGGGATTTTGCTCTTCCTGGGATCCATCTTCCTACTGGGCTGGAATGAGTTCAACTATGTCCGCAACCAGGCCATCTTGCTGAAGGTGGACAAGGAAGTGATTGAAGCTGGATGCGTCCCCAGTGCTTCCAATGTTGGGAAACCCATTTGGGCCTCATGCGTTGTCCAACGTGGCTATGACTTCACTACAGACCCTCAGGTGCAGAGCATGGGCTTGTCATTCTCAGGGGAAGTCCGGGGCGCCTGGTTCAAGGCGGACTCTACCATCCTGCAGTGGACCGAGGACAAGAGTTGCAGCAGTCAGCGGCTGCCAGAGGAGTGGCTCGCAGATTCAGAACTCTGGAACCATTCCAACTTCGCTTCAACAGACCTTGAACGCTCCAGATGGCACAGTGGGAATGGGTTCATCCACAGACTCCCTCTACTTTCTGGACAACAAGGAGATGGGTGTCTTTCCATCGGTGCCAGTGACCATTCCTTCAGGCCAGAGGACCAGTTTGCTGCCCAACAAGCAGCTGGTGCAGGTGGACGCCACTTCGGTGCAGTTCAGTTCGGTCCCAGGACAGAACTCCATTGGCGACGTCCGGACCACCTTCACCCAGTCCCAGGTCCAGTTTGGCCTGACGCAGGTAGCCATCATCGCCAAGTAGGCTGCCATGTCAACCAGCAATGCTCAGATGAGACCCTGGGACACCCAGTTGCCTGGTACCATGTCCTTGGTAGATTGGGCCTCAATGGGTGGCTTATCCAAATCGGACATGATCAACGAGAAGCAAAGTGAGAATGGTGCTATGGTCATTGCTTTGCGGTTCGTAGGCTTCATCTTGATGTGGTTGGGCCTCCAACTTGTCACAGGGCCCATTGCACTGATGCCACAGATCGTTCCTTGTTGCGGCGAGATGATCGGAGAGATGGTTGGATGTGCTTTGTGTTGCATGAACTGCTTGATTTCGTTGGCCCTCTCATTGACTGTCATTGGTGTTGCTTGGTTGATGGCCAGGCCCATCCTTGGCATTGGGCTGTTGCTGGTTGCAGCTGCAGCCGTTTGTGGTGCCGGGGTGCTACGCAACAAGTTCCGCAAGAACGCCCGAGAGCCTAGCATGTCGCAGCCCTTCATGGCACCGCAGATCAACATGGCACCAGCACCTCAGCAGCACGTGCAGGTGGTGTGTCCTCAAAATGCCGTGCCTGGACAAATGCTCATGGTGCAATGCCCAGATGGACTTCAACGACAAGTTCAGGTACCACAAGGGGTGTTTCCTGGACAGACCTTCCAAGTGATCATTTGAAACTTAAACGCGGCGCTGTTTCACCCAGTACAGACGAGATTGATCGAGATTGTTGAGTCAAATTGGCAGCCGCTTGCGAAAAAGCGGATTCACGCATATGCTTGCTCTTACTTGTAACAGCATTTCAAAGAAAGTCGCACTTGCATTGAAAATGGACATGGCCGTTCTGGCCGTTCAGAGATACACATAGATGATGCTTTGCACGATCCGTGATGCCACAGGCCAAAGAAGGCGACAACACCACATCTCAGCCATGGTCCGTCCAGTGGGAAACCAAAGCCAAATGGGAGGCACAGCTAGGGACTGCCTACTCGGGATCCCTGTGTGGGATGGGGATGGTTAGTGACAGTTGGTGACAGTTGGTGTCATGTTTGGAGTTTTTGAACGTTGTAGAGTTTTGAAACCAAGTCTGGTTGCTGCTTTGAACAATGTTCAACTACGTTACGTTGATCTATTATCATGAGTAAAACATGGCAAAACAATAGTAAACCACCCATTTGGGCATGTTTTTTTACCACCTATGGATGGTTTATGACATCGTTTTGCCAACATTTGTTTAAGTATTTCCCATCCCTGCTATGATGATCCTCCAGGCATGGGAGAAGTGCAAAGGAAAGTCGAAGGAAACGGCTAGAATCCCAGATTCAGAGTGGCTGATGATTGATGGATATTGATGGATATTGATGGATGTTGATGGATATTGATGGATATTGATGGATATTGATGGATATTGATGGATATTGATGGATATTGATGGATATTGATGGATATTGATGGATATTGATGGATATTGATGGATATTGATGGATGTTGATGGATGTTGATGGATATTGATGGATATTGATGGATATTGATGGATATTGATGGATATTGATGGATATTGATGGATATTGACAAAGATATTGATGCTATTATTATGAATTATTGATAATTATTGATGGTTAATGGTGGTTCATAATGGATTATAAATGATTATAGTGGCTTTTACTGGTGGATAGTATTGATAGTGGTTAAACATGATTAATAGTACAGCCCGCGCTGGTGAAGAATCCGAAAGCTTGAGGTCCAGGGTCCCTCAAATTCTCATTTTTAAATACAGGCAAATTTACACTACAACAGGCCGAGGGTCCCTCAAATTCTTAAGGTATTCTTAGTATTGTATTGCAGGCATCTGCACAATTTGGAGCAAGATTAAACAAGGTACTAGTAACGAGGTGGAGTTGGCAGATTTGACTATTCATGCGAAACTATAATATGGCTATTAATCGTCAATAATTATCAACAATTCCTTCCCCATCATGTTAAACATTCCCTGCAAACCATAGTTTGGTAGGGGATGGAACCACATGGCTGCGGCTCAAAATGTAAGGTTCTGATCCATACCCCGGTACCACATGCGATCCATACCCCATGATCCATACCAAAACGCAGGTGATCCAGACCGATCCATACGTCCGGATCACCCGCGGAACGATCCATACCCGTTTTTTTGAGCCATACCCACATATTGGGACCATTGGTGTTTAATATTAGGGGAATGGGATTAATATTGGATTTTCTGTTGGGTTTTTTCGCGAGACTAGGGCGCCGTCCGGAGAAATACCAAAACCCACTCACTTCCACTGTTTTCATTACAAACCGGTGTTTTTTCTTCTTGCAAGGTCATCTTGGCCCATGGTATTGACATGGCCCTGCTTTAACCCTCACAATCCATGCGCTCAAAATTATGGGGGGTCCAGCCTGCCCAGCCGACTAAAAGGAGCCCTGGGGAAAGCAGTATGCCCTGGATAATCCGGGTCTCTTTCTCCACTGTAACCTATACCTACCTCCTGTGAGCCCTTGTGAAAGCATTTTGGATGAAATAGATTTTTGGCCTGCTGCAGACCTCGTCATAGGGGAAGTGGTTCTCAAACATACTGATACTTCTGAAATTGTGGAGCGTAGCAGCAATTTCAGGAGTCGAGCTGAGTCTAGCTGTTGGTTTTTCAATGATGGATGATTGGGGACACGTTGCAAACAAGCTTGTCTACTCGCTGCTACCGATTACCGACATGTTTTTCCCAAACGATGAATCATACAGTCTGATTCATAGAATGCGGCTATGAGTCTGTCTCAGTCTGAGGGAGCAACGATGAACCTTAGACCGAACTTAGACCCTAGAATTTTACCAGGATTCTAGTGCAATCAGAACACACAGTTCCATTGACTATTCCAAGTAACTGACTGTTTTTTGACGTTTTCAAATTTTCAAATCAGCTTCAACATTCCCAATGAGGTTCACGCAGTTCAGAGCCTTCTTAGCAGTAACCACCTCGCTCGCTCACCATGACCATATGTCTACAGGGTTGGTCCACAATACCCTTATATAACCAGTTTAAACCCTATATGTTGTGTCACTGCTGAAGCGTTCCCTCGCTTGTCGCTCATGGGTATTTTGTCGGCGCGGAAAGAGCTGGAAAAGCTTTATTCTTTGGTTACGACACATGGAAGCACTGCAGAGGCGGGTTTTTGCAGTTCCGCATCAGATTCTCAGATACTTTGATATGGTCAAGCGGTCAAGATGTTCAAGTCATCAGGGTACGTATTTGGACACACGGCTATTTCGGGGTTGAGAAATTGAGAGCTTTCAGACCAGCCATGTCTTGGTGGTTTGAGCATCTGTTTTCAAGCATGGGATGATGTGATGCTCCCTAATTTCACACAAAGTTTTACTGGTGCGTAGGTGTGGGAATTAGAGGATTACACATAATGAAACATGTATACCGGCTTGTGACGGCTTGTGGTTTGGATTTTTTCCATCAGATATTGGGGATGATGATCATCCCATTCCCATTTAACTATAATACTGTTGAGATGGGATGAAACCACCCACCAACCAGATTTGTTATCATACCCTGCAATTTAACCATTCCCTTGAGTGTTTCTTCAAGAGAGCTGGTGATGAGTGATGAGTGATGAGTCATGAATCTGAGTGCGCTGCACAGGTGGCTGCGTATGCAAATGCGATCGTCGGCCTGGATACTTTGGCTGGCAAAGGCAGCCAGTTGATCCTTGGCAGATTCATGGAAGGTTATGGTGGTTATGGGCCAGTGGCCAGTGATGTTTTGGGACTTTAAATGAGCCTATGATAGCAATGGTTCAATGATCAATGATATATACGTACAAGTACAAGGCTACAGTTAGGGCCTGGAGCCCCGACCAGGGTTACCGTGCTTTATCAAAACTCAGTTTCAGTTTTGCTGCAGGAATTCATTTGCCAAAAATTGCCGGGCATTTAGTCACCCAGTGTTTCTGGCCGCATTCTTTCAAACAGACCGAAGTTCGAAGCTGAAGATCTCATTTTATTTCCCCTGTTTTTTTCTTGTAAGCGTTACTCCGCAATTCATCAAGTCATTGTCCCAGGTCCCAGAGGAAGGGCATAGGTATAGGGCTGTTTGGACTTGGACCTCCCAAATACCACCAAACCCCAAAAGCGAATGTCAAATTTGTTCTGTTAGTGGCCCACTTGATGAGTGATGAATCACAAATGCAAAGTTCTCAGATTGGGGCTCAGACTTCTGTCCTATTTGTTTCAATGTTTCAAGTTTCAGGATCTTTGACCTCAAGCTTGGCTTGCGGCTGAAACTGTCCAGCCATTTCCTTTCACAAAAAAAATCACAGAGATGATCACATCACACTGATCATCACACATCACACAGCCTGCCTTTTCCTCAAAGATTTAGAGACTCAGAGACTCAGAGACAGTGCCAGAGACATAGTGACAGAGACTGAGACTGATTATTTTCTGGGGGTTCTGTGACTTCTGTGAAGTTCTGTCAGAGTTTCTATCTGCTTTTGTCGCAAGACTAGGCTTTTGCATTTGATCGACAATGACAAACCGACGACGAGATTAGATAGATGATGAGATACATGTCATGTGAGTCATGTGATGTGATATTTGAAAAACATGAATATGATGAATGAGGACGAGGACGAGGATTGAGATCGATGGGAAAGAGATAGATGAGGAGATAGATGAGGACAATGGGATTCAGGCGAGAAAAAGATAAGAAAGATGTGGTGAGATAGATGAGAAAGATGGAAAGATGAGGAGATAGATGAAATAGATGCACTGAAGGAGATATATGGTAGATGAGGTAGATGAGAACGATGAGCTAGAAGATAAGAATTGAGACCGATGAGAAATGCAATGGGATAGATTCTAGATAGATGAAAAAAGAGCTAAACGATAATGAGAATAAGAATGATGAGAACCAATGAGAATGATGAGAAAGATGTGATGTGATGTGATGAGATCAAAAGATAGATGAGATTGATGGATGTGATGAGATGAGACAGATGAGATATACGAGTTTGGGCCATGGGTGTTTGTCCAAGGATGGCCTGTGGTGCAACAGCCCGGGTGCGGATGTACGACTTTGCATCCTTGTTCAAAGCCTTCAAGTTCTCGCTGACCTTGCGGAATGAGCGAAGAGCCCTTGTTTGCATGGTGGTGGTGGTGCCTGGAATTTTGAAATTTGATGATCTGAATCTGACTATCTGACATTGAGAAACATTATTTGTGTCTTCTTGCACACCTCAAACCAATCGTGCCTTTATTTGCTGCGAATGCGCAGCTTTGTACACACGATGTCACGTTGTGCCGTCTCCTCTCACGCCCCTCCTGTCCTCCGCTGCTCCGCGTTCCTTACGGCGATGCGCTGTACAACCTTATGTGCGCACGTCTGCGTATAACCGCTTATGCTTTGCAGACTGCAGGCACTGCAGGTCGACAAAATAATCTTAGGGCCCGGGGCGGGAGACACACACACACACCAGTGTTGATGCGTTCTGTACTTGCACATCATTATTGATCATTAGTGCATCATTTCACCTTTTGAAGCAGAAATTCAAATGTATAATGCAAATCAGCAATCTCATCCAAGTGACAGATGTGGATGTGTATGGCATGGGTTGTGATATCCATGATGCTTGAAACTGCAGCGGCG